AAGATAATGTCCTTCCCAGCGGTAGGCACCGGGAGGCACCAATAACACCTGAGAAAACAGTCAGAGCCGCCTCCAAGTCCCCAGAAGCAGTTAAGCGCAGGCAAGAACTGGTGCCGGATTTGGTCAGCGTAGCCGATAAACAATTACCATTTGGAGGCCCGTCTTGCTTGCTTGCGCACATCTGCGGAGTAACTAGTTGGCTCACCGAGCTTTATCAGTTGAGCAACCAACGTCGTAGTAATTTCAACCATATCTTCTCAACCTTGATCCAAGGCGGAAACCGTCATGATTTGCGGTGCCATCCTCCTGCCGCAACTTGTTTCTCACTATATAGCTATTCAAAGGTCCTCTGCCACCTGAGCATGCCACTTCGTCTCGTGAGCTAGTCTGTCCCAGTCACCGCCAGAAAGTATTTCTATCTCGTCTACAGGCCGGCCCAACATGGCGACGCCTCCCAAATACATCAGTCCTCTCGAACGTGTCACCAGTGTCACGAACCGAGTCTTCTCCAACTCCCTCCCAGATCCTTCGCCCATCGCCCAGGCCTCACTTGCCCGAGATATCGAGGAAGACACAGACGAGGAAGCCACGGAGACAGAGTCCGAATCAGAAAGTTCTACGCTGCGGCCTTCCACATCTGCTCCAGGAACAGGAGGATATTCATTTGTGGGATCATACCGCAGACCGAGCTTTGCTGGAGCGGGAAACAGAGCTACTCTCCTACCCCGCCTTGCACCAGAACATGAGCGACTCTCCAAGGAAGAGAGACAACGGGCAATGGAGGAGGAACGGTCTCTACTGAGAGACAACAATCTAATACCACCCAAACATCCTCAGACCGCGGGCGACCAAGGCAGTCGCAGGAGAAGCATTTTCCATATACCTGGCGGGGACCGCAAAATCCCTCGAGATGAAGAGGCAGTGCCAGCGGTGGAGGTTAACGCCGGCCTTGCAACTGAGGTCTCGCCGCTGTTAGGTGACCCGGGTCTCCCTTATGGCGGACAAGATGACGCCCAGACCATCAATCAGAAGTGGGAGGAAGCTGTGGCAGCAGGCATGATTCACACAACCTGGCAGCGCGAGGCCAAAGTAATTGCTCGGTACTCTGCGCCGTTGATGGTAACCTTTATGCTCCAGTATTCGCTCACCGTCGCGAGCATTTTCACGGTTGGACATATCGGTACAGTGGAGCTAGGGGCAGTGAGCCTAGCGTCTATGTCTGCCAACATCACCGGCTATGCCATTTACCAAGGTCTAGCCACGTCTCTTGACACCCTCTGCGCGCAAGCCTACGGATCCGGCCGCAAGAAACTGGTCGGCCTGCAAATGCAGCGCATGATCTACTTTCTATGGACCATCACCATACCCATTGCCATCATCTGGCTCTTTGCGGACAAAATTCTCCTTGCCCTGGTCCCCGAACCAGAGGTCGCTAAGCTCGCAGGCCTGTATCTGAAGGTCGTCCTTTTTGGTGCACCTGGCTATGCAGCCTTTGAATCCGGGAAACGCTTTGTCCAGGCTCAGGGGCTCTTCTCAGCCTCTCTCTATGTTCTCCTTTTCTGTGCCCCGTTTAATGCTTTCATGAACTGGCTGTTCGTCTGGAAGCTGGAAATGGGGTTTGTGGGAGCCCCTATCGCTGTTGCCGTCACAGATAATTTGCTCCCGCTAGGTCTGTTCATCTACGTCCGTTTCTTCTCCAAGACCGGTATGTCGTGCTGGAACGGATTCACGAAAAAGGCCTTGCAGAACTGGGGACCCATGGTCAAACTAGCCTTGCCAGGGGTGGTGATGATTGAAGCCGAAGTTCTCGCATTCGAAATTTTGACCTTTGCTGCCTCGTATTTCGGCACGACAGTCCTCGCCGCACAGTCTGTTCTCGCCACACTCACCTCGATCACTTTCCAGATCCCCTTCCCCCTCTCTATTGCTGGCTCCACGCGGGTTGCAAACCTCATCGGCGCCACATTGGCAGATGCCGCAAAAGTGTCCACACGTGTGACCTTCTCCGCTGCCATTGTCGTTGGTATCCTCAACGTGACCCTCCTCTCGGCCTTGAAAGATTACATCCCCCACCTCTTCACTTCAGACCCTGAGGTGGTCCGCATCGTTAGCGAAATTCTCCCTCTGTGCGCAGCGTTCCAACTATTCGATGCTCTTGCCGCCAACTGCAACGGCGTCCTCCGCGGCCTAGGTCGACAAGAATTCGGCGGTTACGTGCAGCTGTTCTGCTACTATGCCTTTGCGATGCCGATCAGTTTTGGCACGGCGTTCGGTGCCGGCTGGGGGCTTTGGGGACTTTGGACCGGTGTGGCCCTGGCGCTAGGGTTGGTGGCTGTGATTGAATTCGTGTACCTCGCACGGACCGACTGGCAGAGGAGCGTCGAGGAAGCGAGGGCCAGGAATCTAGAAAGTGGCCAGTGATTGATGGTTTACGGAACTATAAAAGTCATATTCTCTAAATACACACACACACACACTCAGAAGTGCTGCAGGTATCCTACGAGTACATGGACCTCGTCCCAGCAGATGATGACGATCTCAGTGCACAGGTACCTAGGGCGCTAGGGTAGGTAGATCTATGCTAACGAATGTCCTCTAATGAAATCGACGAAATAAATCTACTGTAAACCTACCATATTGTGCCGTGTATATAAAGCGGCTGCTCTGGTCTAGTATGATCTGATCTGATCTGATCTGATCTGGTATATATGTTGTATATGTCTACTCGGTCTAGAATTCTTGCCACAGCCTTAGCCATATCACAGCCAGACCAGGAAGCTACATACAGGTATACTCAGTATATCTATCATACATGACACTATCGACTTCCGCGTAGCGTGTAGGCTATTGTGGGTATTGTGAGATACCTACTCGCCTGATACATAGACGGTATCTCCCAACTAGCCAGGATAGACAGACAGAAAAGCAAGGGAAAGACAGAGAAAGGGGGGAGGATTAATAATTCCTCGATGCTGGAGCTAGGCAGGTTTCTTTCTCCCAGACTCCCAGGCACCTAGGCTATGGATCTCGATTTGTCTGCAATCAATTACCAGGACTGACTATAACTATCCGTTTCATCATGAGCCCTGGCCCAGTTTTTCCCCGTCCACGCCAGGAACGCCTGATAGTGAGAGAAAATGATGCTGGCTTGTACCAAATAATGCTCTTTATCCCGAGTTGTAGCGCGTTGCCACCCATTCACAAGGGTCTGAGTCCTTGAGTGGACACAATCTGAGGCGATTGCTATGTGGGAGACGTTCAATGTAGCTTGGGTTGTTCACATCCTCCGAATGTGTGTCTCGTTGGCCACTTCGCCCAACTTTCCCTGCACAAGCTGTTCCCACCAGTGGAACAGCATTCCCTCGCAAATCAGCCGGAACCAAGGCGTATACTTCAGAGCCTTGTCCTTGCCGCTCTGAGTCTCCACATCCTTGAACATCTGTCTCAGCTCCTCCGGACTCACCCACCGCGTATCTTTGACTTCGTTCTTGTTGATGTCTAACGTGACGTCGGCTTCGATGAAGAGGATGTAGTCGATTTCGTGCTCGCCCCACGTCCCGTCCGAGGGTGCAAGGTAGTGAATGCGCGCGAGGAAGGAAAAGTCCGAGATAGGCACTTGTGATGACTTGATGCCGAGTTCGTGGTGGAGTTTTCTCTGTGCAGCGCGTTTGGCGCCTTCGATGTTGCTTGCCAGCTCGCCATTGCCGGTCTCTGAAGGGTGCGCGAGAGGGTGTGAACAGCATGTGTTCGTCCACATGTCGGGGAACGTGATCTTTTCACTTGCTCTTTGCTGCAGGAGCAACTTCTTCGTCTGCGGGTCGAAAAGAAACACCGAGAAAGCACGATGTAAGAGGCCCTGGTTGATATTGGTCATTAGGTGGCAAGCCTTTTTGGAGGCGGATCCAATGGGCATGTCGTCGTTGTCGAGGACGATGCAGACCTCGTCCATGAGACGGATTTGTTCTTCATCGTAGCCGGCGAGCATGTCGTCCGGGTTGGCATCTGACGTGCCGTTGGGTATGGAGTTGGGTGCCATATCGGCGCCGATCAACGTCGTGTGGACATCGGGGAACAGAGTCGTGACATTGTCGCGGGTGATTGTTGTCGAAGCCATACTGGCTGTCTGCGAGGTAATGACTATAGGTAGGGAGTGTAGCAGAGCAGCCCGACGGAGGGTTTAGACAGGTTTCGAGGGAGGAATGGCGGGGTTGGGAAAACGGGGCTTTTGTTTGTGAAAGGCTCTTGCGGTTCTCAATGATCTGCTCCAAGGCGGTGAAGTGCGAACAAGGGAAAAGAAAATATTGCCGCAGGGAAAATTCCAGTCACGTGCCAGGGGTAAACTTCGAGATTGCGGGACAGGATGGACCGAAGTGGGCTGACAGGCACGTGATATGATGACTAGGCTGACTTATCAATAACTGTACCGAGCAGTCATCGTTGTCTGTCACTCTCTTCAGACAACTTCCCTATGTGTTCATCTCGCTTGTCATCTGCCTATCTCCCCGTCCCCATATACTGTTTCGCTTCCTTTAGGACTGTGCATTTCCCTGACCATGTCTTCAACTCGCACGATCGAAAGTTAGATCTCACGCCAGTATCCAACATGGCTCCTCACGAGTGCCGGACAGAATGGTGCTTATTGCCCTGTCAGGTCAACTCGTCGCCATGAATATTGAATGGCACGATCCTGTCGTTTGAGACCAAGCACCTAAAAACTCATGCTCTCATCGCCCTCGACTACCCAACGCGATACCTGCATGGCCTCAGGGCAGATTTGCAGTACAAGGCTATTCCGCAGCCTTACTGGTCTGAGGACTTGAATGTGCTTCGACGGCACCAAGCGCTACTGCCCGGGCCCTTGGTTGCTGAACTTCATTGGCAGAATGGTCAAAGCCGCAATGCACTAACCCGTTGCTGGTACCATCGGAAAGCTCACCGTTCTGGAATACAGAATGATCCTCTTCTTTCTTACATTTCACCGTCTGAAGAACGCCATCTCGCTAGCCAGCTTCGTATGCCTCTGTCACAGTCTGCATTCCGTAAGGCAAGTACGACGTCCCTCGCCACACATCCGCTTTTGGGCTCTCTGGTGCGGGGCCCCGCTGCTCAGGCAGCCTTGAAGCGATCTCCTTGTAAGATGTGCGCAGTGAGGACCCCATATTCTCGAGAATATTGAGGAATTTGGTTTTCTTTGAGTTCGGCGACATTTTGTCTGTCTCGCGGTGATTTAGATGTCGTGACTGATATTGCGTGCCGAGTTCTGTTGCAGTCTTATGGAGAAGTTGGTCGTCAAAATGGTTGTTCTCGAAAGTCCGAAGTATTACGACGATGATGTTGGGAATACGCCTGGTGAGTGAAGGCGATATATCCCGTCTTCTAAACACCCTCTCCAGCCCCGCCCCCTGAGACCTCTGCACAAGGTCCTGGACCATCTACCTATTTGCTTAGCTCACCAGACAAGGCCACAGAGACCTGTGGGACAACTCGAAGCCACCGCCGGTAAGGGGGCGGACTCGCTTGTTGGGAACGTCGACCAGACACCGCACTCAACCAACGCCCAAGGTTGGGTCTTAAACCTCATCAGAGGATGACATCCCCTTGAGCAGCGGCAGCCTCTGAACTATACCAACAATGCTATGTTCATTCAGTCATGCATTCATCCTAACCCTTGGACATCTATAGCCTGGAGTGACCGGTGCACTGCATTATTCGTAACACGGTATGAGAACTATCATGGCATCAGCTCAATTCCACCCAGCCCACCTCGTACAGGTTGAAAAGGACATTCCAGACGGGTTCCGAGCTCCATATTCCTCCTCCTGCTTGTCCGATAACAAACACTTGGCCGTTATGGCCCAAGCCTTCCACCCCTAGGTATGTAAACAGTCCCTCTGGCCCAGAACAAAACGTTTGATAACTCCTCACTCCTCGCTAAAGCTCGATAGGGGGTCTGACAAGTTCGGGATTGCCCCGTATTAAATCTAATCCTGGTGCATGCCAGCTCGCCATTCATACGCTGACTTCACCTTCTTCCTCTGGCGTATCGTTCCCGCCATGTGACACGTGGCTAGCGCCTTCATTGTCCGTGGTTAACTCCTCCCTTCCACTTATCTCCTTCTTTTCGTTGTTTTTGATGTCAGCCAGTATGCGTTCGAAGTAGGCCTTCAAAGTCCTTAACCCGCGCAGGTAGCCTCGGTCAATATCATTCGGATGGGCAGGCGGCGCTTGAGCATTGGGGGGAAGTTCATCCTCGCCAGTGATACAGTTTGCAAAATCCACGATCTTGATGTCAATAGGCGGCGGCCACTTTTTGCCCTCCTTTTTCTTTTGCGCCGCGATATCGATGCCGGCCCTTGCCGCCTCTTCAGCTTCTCGAGACTTGTAGGGCTCGGCATCATATAGCATGAGCAGCGAACTCGCATAGAATCTGTATCCTGGCAATCTTCGCACCATGCTCTCGAGCTTGGACAGTTTGTGAAGAATGGTGGGGATATGCCGTGCAACACTGTCGTAGCTGACACCATCATACAAAAATCTCGTGAGCGCGTCCCTGAACTCTCGACCAGCCTTCAGGTCCCGCCCATAGTATTTGTCCTCGTACGATACTTTTTGGGTTTTGGCATTAAACGTTTGCATGCCGCATATTCTGACACCCAGTTGCTGAGAGGTTGTCGACTTGCACTTGCGGCGCTGAGACTCCATCTTCTTTTTGGTGGCTTCAACACCAAATTGCCGTGTTCCCATTTTGAGATCAAGTACACAGGGCCGTCCCATGCCACTGGTAAGATCTTCCAGCAAGATGAAGTATACAACTCGATCGCCGGAAGCATTGTAAGTTTTCTGAGCCTCTTTTGGATTGGACGGGATCAAGCTCTTCGTAGCTGACTCTCTGGGTCTGCCAGTACTGTTTGAGTGAGGATTAGACACGCCGACGTCTCCCGCTTGAGACTGGCTCACGCCGTTGACTGTCGAATGACTTGAGCGGTGCTTCTGAGTATCCCGTGTCTTCTCCTGGTCCATGGCAAAAACATCGCCTCCGGTGTCAGGACCAAAATCGGTTGTATAGGCTTCGTCTTCAAAATACTCCAACCCAGGACTCTGTTTCTCGTTCACCGATTGGCGTCGACGTCGCAGACCCATTCCAGAATGACGCCTTTTCACATGTTGTCTGTTTTCTGCAACAGAGGAGGTGGACACCTCACTTCCATCAGTTTTAACTTGTTCAAGATTGTATTTGAGATCATCAAAGGCAGAGGCAGATGAAGAATACACACTAGCGCCGTCACTGGTCTGTGAGCGTGCTTCACTGGGTGTAGGTATGTGCGGTGTCTTGTTATGCGGCGTCGGTGTTTCATGGTGAACCTTTGACGGAGCAAAATCTTTTGCATCTGCATGGGGGAACGAGTTTGTAGACAGGTTACTCCTCCTCCGAGGGACGTGATGACCTTTGAATCTCGGAACAGAGCTGTGTGAGGGCATATGACGACGGATATACTGGACAGGAGGAGGGCCGAATACTTCGCGTAGAATTTTATCCTTCAAGCCCTCGTTGACAGTAGTATGTCCCCAACTGTTCGAATGTTCGGGCATTGATGGTCTGTTTGGCGATTTCTCTGCCTCTGAAAACTCCTGCGTGGAGGTATCTGGAAGATCGAAATCCTTGCTTCGCCGGCGCCCGTGATTGGGGTCCGCACTTTTGGGCCGCTCTGGCAAAGCGAAGTAATTGGAGGGGATGATATGTTTGTTCTGTTCTAGGATAACCTCAGGAATACTGCCGATTTGCTGCATCGAGTGGCTGACAATTCGTGGTTGGTCTCCAGACGAGGAAATTATTGACCTCGAGCCGATGTCGGACGTGCCTTCTATCTCTCTGGAACGGTCTTCTTGACCAGGATTTTCAGTCCTCGAATTACCATCAGGCTTTGCCTCCGAGTTCTGTGCTTGTTTTGGGATCTTTGAGAAAGTTACATTCAATACGCCAATGTATCTGTCCACCATGTCAGTCATCCCGTCTCTCTTCGATCTTAGTGAAGGATGGAAAGGGTCAGTCGAGCAGGATACATTAGACATACCTGGGAAGAAATTTGAGCATGTCCGGATGTCTTTGCTCGATCCGTTCGTAAAATTCATTCTCCCGATTGTTCAGCTGTTTGCAGACGGCGCGACGAGAAAAGCGAAATATTGTCGAGTGCCCTCCCACTTGATGCTTATAAGGTTCAAGTACAACCTTTCCCTTAGTCCTAGGCGGACCCTGAACTTCAGTTGGTCGCCGAGATAGTGTGCTTCGTTGCGTTGGCGTGGTTGACATATCATCTGTTTGACTTTGCCGGCTGATATCATCACTAGATTCAATCTCCGACTCCGAAGTACTGACGATTGCAGTTGAGGGAGCTTCTTCAAGCGGGGATAGAGCTGGCACATGATAGTCCCCGGTGCCTTCGTCCAAAGGGCGATAATTACCATGGAACATTCTCTTCTCATTCTGCGAGACGACTGATATGTCAATGTGCTCCGTGCCTCCCAACGCTTCGTTTGTTTTGTTGTCGGTTGAGAGAACAATCTCGTCTGTTGGTCTCGGAAGTTGTCGATTGTTGTTCAGATTTGGTGAGGCAACCTCTCCTGGGGAAGTGAAGCGTTCGATCTCTTCAGGCGACGGACCTGGATGTGGGTAGTAGACAGCTGCCGATATATGCTCCTCTTCAGAAGGGTGCTGGTCCTCTTCTCTCTCCTCTTCGGTGACCTCCCCAGGAGTCGCATCACGGACTGTCGCCGTGTAGATTTCCTTGCCATCATCAGATACTCTCCCCTTCACATCTGGTTTCTCTGCAAGATCCTGTTGACGGAAATAAGGATCGAGGTCAGGTCTGAGTGGAGAAGTGGCCTGTGAACTGCGTAGACTCCCTGGGCCTGTGGCATCTTGGGAAGTGGTGACGACAGGGTCAATGCGTTCTCTCGAGGGCCGACGAGCACTCCATGAAAATTTAGCATCTTGAGTAGCCGGGCTTGTTGGTCGTGAAGACGACTTCGAGGGCTCCCTGCTGCCACTAATGTGACTGAACTGGTCACCGACGTTCAACCCTTGAGAATCCGGGCCGGTTCGTGGATCGAAAATACCCATCATATGACTAGCCTTCCTGCTACGTGCTGTACCTCCAACTTCGGGGTTCTTCACTGTAGCTTCTATACTTTTGTCCACATGTGCCCTGCCACGACTGACACTCCGCTCTGTGCGAGGGCCATTCAGGACAGCACGCATGGCATCGCCTCTCTCAACCACTGTATGTTGCCCATTTTCTTCCGAAGCGGTCTCTTTCTCTTGGGCCCCTCCAGTATTCCGATGTTGTCCTGTGCTCCCCGTGTCTTGGTCTTTCCCCTCGTGGCTCTCCATCTTCCCCAATGTTACATGAAACTTCTTAGTCCATGAGTTCGAATCGGAGGCAATCCGTCTGATACCGTGGATCGTGCCAGTTGAAGGATGGGACGGCGAGGGAGGCGTATCTACATCAGTCGAAGAGTCGGATCGTCGAATCCACTCCGGCTTCCGTGGAGAGTGGGTGCGAGGAGTTTTGCTTGTATCGGGAGGAGGGACAGGATGTGTCACCATGGTCGACATATTGAATGGCGCTTTCCGCGAGGGAATGGAAGATGGAGATGTTCTTGCCCCGTCTAGGGGAGTGGAGGGCTCGCTCGGGGGAGAGACATAGTGTTCAGCAAAGATACTATCTCTTTCTGATAATTGAGGAAGATGCTCGCCCAACGTGGCTGCCCGATGAAGACTGTAGAGCGGACCTCTGCCATTGTTTGTATTCGTGGAAGGATATAACCCTTTTGTCCCCCGTGAGATTGGAATAGGCTTGGAACTGGACGAGGGACTCAGACTGGTAACAGTTGAAGTAGAGCCTGGTTCATGGCGGAGCAAAGGGTGTCCATTTACCGTCGAACCTGGCGCGGACGGTCTTCCGGCGGGAGCGCTATTTGACATGGGGAGGACATTGGGCGAGCAGTCTGCGGTCCCAACTGCTCCCTGGGTGAACGGAGGGTGGCAGGGAAGCGGTCGTGCGTGTAACGACGATTCGCTACGAATGGTCCGTGAAGGGGGTGAGAGATGAGAAGCGAGCAGAGGAGCAAACGTCGGGTTGTGCTGAGGAGGCCAACGTGCTGGGAACGAGGGTTGGAGCAGGTACAAGAGCCGGAGGAGGCGGTCAAT